ACCACTACTGTACCACCTGGGGCCTTCTTTTGTGCCGGTGCAGCCAGGGCCTCCTTTTGCGTGCTGCTCCAGCGTGAAAGAAGGCAGCACGCGAAAGAAGGCCCTGGCACAGTAGTGGCATGCCATGCAGTGGGCGTGGTGGCAGGCAGGGCTAGGCAGCAGGGACAGCTGGAGGCAGGGGTAGGCGGGCAGCCAGAAGCGCAAAGATGGGGAAAATTGAAGTGGAGGCAGTCCCTTACCTTCTTCCAAGAATGGCTTGGATCCGGGCGGGTCCTTGCCTAATGACTGTGTGGGATTCACGCAATGACAACAACTGGGGTTGCCAGAACTGCCGTCACTAAATGAAGCAGTCACATGACATTTCGCTTAATGACCACGTCAGTTAGCAACAGAGTTGCCGGTCCCAATTAAGGTTGTCAAGTGAGGACTACCTGTACAGCATCATCTGCATAAAGCAGCAGAGCAGTGCTGCAATCTCTTAGCTTGGGGGGATGGAAAGTTGAAATTTGACATCTTGCCATACCAGCAATATAAAAATTGAAAAGCAAAGGGGCCAGAATGCACCCCTGTTTGGCCCCCTTTTGAGTTTTAACTGGCTTCGTGAGAAATCCTTGTGTAACAGTCATGTGAGCATAAGTGATGGGGACAGAAAAAAAGTGGCCCAGAGTCACCCAGTAAGTTGCTCCAGCTGAGGATGGGCTTGGGTGCCAATGCCTAGTCGAACGCTTTAGCCACTATAACACATTAACTTTATAATTAAGGTATTATTCCAAATATTCAGATTCTGATTTTTCACAAGAAAGCTCCAAGTTAAGTTTAAGGATATTCAGTCACCATCATTTTGTTTAAAAAAAAAAAAAAAGTTTTTACTATCAGCAGTGGGGATTTACAGCAACCAGATTTTAAAATGGCAGCAGCAGTAAAACATACAGAGTTATTGTTTCCATCCCCCACCCAAAGGCAACAGTGACTAAGGCCGAATTAAGTGTGACATATTCAATTATTTTTTTAAAAAGAGCATGAACAAGAGACACTTGGAGACCAGGAGATTTCTCAACAGAAATTTGCCTCACCATCCTCCTCTTCCTGTTCCCTCTCTAGAGCAGCACCCTTTCCTGCTACTTGGATGTAAAACTCCCTTTCAGGCAAATGGCAATTCCCTCTCATTGCAGGTGGGGAACTGATCTAGACTGGGGAACCCTTCAGACAGTCACTCATGCCCTGGTCACCTCGTGACTTGACTGTACATGGGGCTGCTCTTGAAGACCACCTGGAAGCTTCAACTGGTCCAGAATGCAGCAGCATAGGCAGTGATGGGCGTGCCTCAGTATGCCCATGTAACACCTCTGCTTCACAAGCTGCACTGGTTGCCAGTTTGCTTCTGGGAGCGATTCAAGATGCTGGTTGCTACCTATAAACCCTGCATGGCATAGGGCCTGGTTACTTGAGAGACTGCCTGTCTCCCATAGTATCTGCCTGGCCAATCCAATCTGGCAGGTTTGGTGCATTCCAGATTCCTTCAATTAAACAATCGGGACCCTGAAAGTGTGTCTTCTCTGTAGTAACACCTGCCCTCTGGAATGAAGTTCCCCCTGAGATTCAAATGGCCCCCACCCTATTGGTGTTCTGAAGGACCCTGAAGACCCTCTTTGCCCATGCCTTTGGGGAGGTGTTTGAAGCCCCCTTTTCCTTTGCTCCCATTCAGTTTTGTAATTTCTGCCATCTTTATTCTTTTTTCGGTTTTTTGGTTTTTCCTTGTTTTTAAAAGTTTTTTACCAATTTGTAAACTGCCCAGGTTCTCTGGGAGTCTGGTAGCATATAAATTTAATAAATAAATACATCTAGCTGACAACTCCAATGGAAAAATAAGCTTTGTGGAAAATTTTGAGAAAACAAAAGATTGTTTCACTTGGAGGAAAGGAGGAAGTGAGATCTGAGTGGTTCAATAAATTGTTTGAATTAGCATCCCACAGTCTGATAAGCATCATACCCAATATCTGTCATCCTCAACCCACACATCCAGTGATGGTGGGAGTTGA